TCTGATTTTTGAAATGTAAAAATTGTTTTGTTATTTTTGAAATAGGGTAAAGATAAAGTAGAGAAAGTGAATTTTTCTCATTTTTAATCCTTAGGAACTCAAATTTTACGTTAATAACCAACTTTGGAACAACTTTGGTGACAATTGATGAAATTAAGAGTTTGTTTGAGGCACGTTATTATGGAAAAATTTATTTTGGAATAGTAGATTGATGGAAAATGTATGGTTGAAAAAGAAGGAAAAATTATTGATGTGATAAAAACATTATTTTATTGAAAATGTATGGTTAAAAATGAGTAAAAAAATAAGAATGAAAATTTGAATGTGACTCAAATAGGGACTAACTAACTGTTTTAAATGGACTTTAAAAAAATTATCCTGTCCTTAGTTTTCAACTCCTTCAAATACTTCCATTAGCATCTGAGCCTATGTTCTAAATCCATTTTAATGAGTTTTTAGTTTGGGAAAATGATTTTTGAAATATTGATTTTTTAGAGAGAACGTGTGGTAAAAAATATGGAAAAAAAAATATATTTATGTGTAAAATATTTTATTGTATGAATGTATGGTCGAAAATAAGTTCGAGAAAAAAATTTGATTTAGGGTTTGTTTGAGCCCACTTTTGTTTCAAAAAAAAAAAATTATTTTTGAACAGTGTATTAATAAAAATGTGCGGTTAAAACTTTTGAAATTGCGTCTATATTATTTTAATGAAAAATATATGATTGAGCCTTGTTTGAGTCACATTAAAATTTTTATTCATATTTTTCTACTCATTTTAATCATACATTTTTCAGTAAAATAATATTTTTCATCACATCAATAATTTTTCCTTCTTTTTCAACCACACACACTTTATCAGTCTACTATTTCAAAATACATTTTTCAAAAATAATGTGACTCAAATACAACCTGAACTTGGGAAAAAATACTGTTCAATAATACTTTTTTTTAATAAAAAAATGGGACTCGGACTGAATCTTGCCAACGGAAATCTGAGCAGTGACCTTCTTGGTCCGTAGTAAAACGAGAATTTACAAAGTTTCTCCCAAT